CGATCCCTGCTTGTGGCTCTGCCGGGCCTGGCGAGCTGGCCCGTGCCGGCGTGCCGAGGGCGCTCACGTGGCTGAGGGTGCCTGCAGCACTCCCGGCACGGCCAGGGACTGGTGTTGGACCCCATGGGGACAGCAGCCATCCCCGCTCGGGGGCCTTTTCGTGCCATCCCCTAGGGAAGGTGTAGAGGAACCAGAGCCAGGCTCTTCCCGGAGGCAGGTAGGGACAGGAGGAGGAGAAGCTGTGGCACCAGCGGCACTAGGGGGAATTGTCACTGCGTAGGAGGAAGGTTTTTCCCCGTGACAGTGGTGAAACCTCCAAAAGGTTGTCACGGCTCCTCCCTTGGAAGTGGTCAGACCTCAACCCGCAGTTCTGGTCTGCTGGGTGTGCTCCGAGTGGGGTCCCCAGGTCCTGCCCCATCCAGGTTCTTCTGAGACGAGGCGGCACTGTGAGCCATCACGTCCCTCCCTGACCCAGGTGGCGATGCCTTGCTCTGCTCTTCCTGGTCCCCATCTGTGTCCCCACTACGGGGCAGCATTGGGGCAGCACTTTGGTCACCATGGGGCCGATGTCTCCATAGATAGAGACTCCTGCCGTGGCTGCTAAGTTGTTCATGGCATGTCCCAGCCAACAGACGGAGGGTTAACACAGGCCAGGGACTGTCCCCACTTGGGTTATGGCCATGCCAGTACACGGGGTAGGAGAGCATCTGGTAAGAAGGTGTCAACCCGTCCCCTCCGGTCCACCCAGACATGTTTCGTGCCTGGGCAGAGATGCAGCCCCAGAGATTGGCCACACGGTGGGACCAGCCCTGGCCCCATGGCACACGGGGCAGGACCATGCCACCGACCTGCTGGCAGGGAGAGAAGCGTGACCACGCTCACCCGGGCTGTGTCTCTCCTCGCAGGCGGCGCCAACGGCCCCACATTCAACACACACGCGCCCATCGCCGAGTCCCTCTCGTCCCCGAGGCCACGAGGGGGGTAAAGGTGCCCCAGGAGATCAGCCCCCGCCAGCCCCTCTCTGCCCCACTGAGGAAGACCTTCAGCGACCTCGGGGCCCGCTGCTGTCCTCCACCTGCCGCCATGGACGGCACGGCCACCCCCTGCGCTGGCGCCTGCAACGGGCCACAGGGCGCCCCCTTCTCCCCACCCTGGAGCACCCTGAGCTACGCAAGCCCCCCCAGCCCCACCGCTGGCCAGGGCAAGGGGGCCACCTGCACCTCACCAGGCGGTTCCATCCCGTCGCCCAGCCCCAGCTCGCCCGCTGCTGCCCCCTCCTTCTTCATCGCCACCGAGGAGCACGTGGGCAGCAACGGGCCCAGCTCCTTCTCCAGCGCGGTGCCCGAGTCCCCCACCACCTCCGGGGGTGGCCAGAGGTGCGCGAGCCGAGAAGCCAAGGTGAACCTCTTGCCGGGAAGCCAAGATGAGCCAGAGCCGGTGGTGGAACCATCGCGGCTGGGGGTGGAGCGGGCAGGGTGCCGGTTCCGCGAGCGGTCGCTGTCGGTGCCCACTGACTCGGGCTCTCTCTGCTCTGTGGACATCGCATACGCTGAGACCCGGCGCGGCAGTGCCAACTATGCCCTGGGCTACCCCAGCGCCAGCTCTGAGGGCAGCACCAGCACCGACAACGTCTCCCTGGGGCTGGAGCAGGAGGGCCAGCGGCGGCGGCGCTCCAAGAGCATCTCCCTCAAGAAGGCGAAGAAGAAGCCCTCTCCGCCCACGCGCAGCGTCTCTCTGATCAAAGAGGGCAAGACAGGACCTTGTACTGCCAGGGCATTAGCTTTAAACACCAACCTAGCACCAGCTTAAACTTATCTAACAGATCTTCTGAAAGCACTTTAGGAGTATTAAGGTCTGCTCTCAATGCAAGGAGAAGAAAAGAAAAGAAAGCAACCCCCACCAGTGGCATCTCACGGACTGGAAGACCGGGGATCCCTACCGGTCCCTCTCCAGCTCGAGCACGGCCACAGGGACCACGGCCATCGAGTGCGCCAAGGCACGGGGCAGCTCCGAGTCCCTCACGTCCCCCTCCATCTCCAGGGCCACGACACCCTCCCAGCTCTCCGCCGAGGCGGACCTCAAGACCTCCTCCCCAGGCAGGCCCACAGGGCTGATGTCCCCATCCAGCGGGTACTCCAGC